ATTGTTTTTTTTTTTTTTTTCCATTTACAGTATTTTTAATGATGCAGCTGCCAGAATACATATACATATTTGTAGTTAGCTTTTCTTCCATTTTTCCATCTCCTATGGGACACATTCAGCTCTTGACCTATTAAACTTAGTGTCTGCTTTGTAATAATGTCAAAGTCTAAGAAGAAGTCCTCAAATGTCTTGTTGTGTCCACAACACAAAGCTACTAAGTTTACTGACATAGAGGAGTAAAGAAACCAGAAAATATTCAACTTTAACAAACTAGAATCAGAAAATGACTTCAAATCAATCATCAGAATAGTTGGTGATTAATTTATTAGTTGAATTGCTGCCGCTCTGTCATAAAGCTGAGGACAAAAGCACAGTTAGCTGAGAACTCTTTGTGATTTTGTTATGATGAATTTCCCTTTTTGGTTGTATGTAGTTATTTGATGTATTGTTATAAAACTATTGTTACAGCAGCTGCTTTAAAATTACATCTTGTCGTCTGCAAAATATCAGAAAATGTCACTCTCACCAAATCCCCGAGGAAAGATTTTCAAATTGCTTTTTTTTTTTTCTCTCTCTGACCAACAGTTGGAAATTTAGAGATATTCTATTTTTATTATACAAAACAGCTAAACTTCACTTTGGAGAAGCTCGAACTCAGAAAGAATGTTGGAAACGTAGTGAAATAATCAATAATGGGAGTAGATGTTGGCTGACTGCTACGTGTCTTGTTTTATTTCCACTCTCTGCATCTCTGAAGCACATTATGCTGCACATCTGCAACACTTCCATCAAGTTAAGTTAATGTAGACTCAACATTGTTTGTCACCATTACCTTGAGTTACAGCGCAGGTTTTAGCTAAGTGGACCCTCCACCTCAGGTCTCTGTGCTGTGTTACAGTAGCAGCGTGCTCCTGTCACCGGGGGGAAGGGGTTAAAACGTTGTACCTGTCACAGTAACAGGCTGATTATTGCCCATGGAGCAGGCAGGCTGGTGAGGAAGGCTCCCCTCCCCTCGGCTCCCTGCTGGGAGAGAGGCCTGGGGCCCGGTGCTCACTGAGGCCGAATGACTCACAATTACCACAGTGACAGAGCCTGCAGCCACCTCCCATCCTCTCCAGCCGTTTCACTGACTCACTTAGCGCACATGACAAATGACAGAATCACCCCGAACCTCCGCCCCCTCGCTCAGACCTGATTGCCCGTCGCCCACACTTTGCCTACAGTACTTAAAGCCGGGATACATCTCGCCAAGCTTCATGAAACAAAGCAAACTTGCTGAAAGAAACTTGCTCCAGGCTTTCAAAGCAAAGTGACACTGTTTTACACCATGTGGCTGCTTTAAGGTGCTTATTTTATAATGACCGAGCGGACAGTAAAACGTGACATTAAAGTTCCAGTTGTCTAACTCTTCAAACAGACTTTTTTTTTTTTTAACCCTCTGAACCCCAAGCAGCCTTTTTTTTCTTCTCCTGTCACATTTTCATTCGCTGTGGGTTCATTTTTCACTGCAATATAAAGTCCTGCACTTCTGTGGAAACAGTATAACCACGGCGAGGTTAATAAAGTAACTCAAGCATGTTCTCTGTGCAGTGTGACACAGCTTTAATGCCATACGTCTTACATTTATATAGCAAGTGAGAGCGTGAGAGAAAAATGGAGGCTCCACATATTATAGATATTTTACTATTATTTTTAGTTTGTTTCCATATATGCTTCCTATTTGTTAAAAATATGGTTAGAGTACATGTTTTATTTTGGGCAAACTTTTAAATGATGTGAAAACAGTCTGAAAACTTGCAGAATGTTTTGGTCACATGACTGTTGGAGGATTCTCAGCTGTGCAGAGGAGCACAAAACATTTTGCTTTGTGGCAGATCTGATGAGTGCAAATGCTTTATTTGTGACAAATTTTAATGTGTAGAATAAGGTGAATTTGATGAAATATGACTTTAAGCTTAGATTTAGAAGTTTTAGAAGATTCAGATTTAGAAGTGGAACAACATGTCATACATAATTAGTTTATGGGCCATCTGAGAGGGAATCCAACAATTCTTTCTACTTTTTACAGTCTATGGCTCTGATAAACAGCGCAATGGGGCAGTTTGTTAAAAACATAACATGCTTTTCAAACCCGCTGGTGGGTTTTGGGGTTCAAAGAGTTAATTTTAGTGACACTCATCGCAAAAAAATTACATTATTTGAGTTACATCATCAAAGCATGACTTCCTCAACCGCGTTTTAAATGCAAAAGCAGGTGAGTGATATAAATACCCAAAGCAGACGACATTGGTGCTTGACTTTTGGGGCGTGCGAGCTGCAATGTGAAAACATCTCACTGAAGTGAAGCGCTGCATTAATCTTTTGCCACTGCGAAAAACAACACTGAACTTTGAGGTTATTTAACTCCGTTTCAATTTGCTTACAATGCATAAGTCAAAGTTGGAAGTGTGCTGATAGTTAGATCTTACACCTCATATACTTTGCTCGTTAAATGCAGAGTAGCGAGAGAGTTGTAGCCGTGTGCAGTTTTTCAGAATGGAAGTGGAAAAGTAGCGCTTGTTGTTTAATGAGGAAAAATGTGTTATGTGCAGCTGTATAATGTGTGACTTCAGCGACCTGCGAGATGCATCATTCACCAGATAAATACATTTCCCTGCAGACAACACAACTGTATCTAAATGCATGGCGATTTGGACGGCTGTACCGGATCTGTTACTGTAGTAGTCTCTCCCGCTGTATTAAGCTCATTCCAACATTTGTCTTTGACAATGATGCTGTGCTCTGAATCCGACACCTCCAGTGGTGCCAGACACTTAAATCTTGTGCTCAACAATAGCACAACACTCACTTCATCTCTTCTTCCTGCAGCCCAGCGTCTCCGGCTCTCTAATGAAGAGAGGGAAGGGAGGGATTCTTAATGTCTGAGCTACAACAAAGCATATTGCAATATGTTTTTGCTCAGATACGAGGGCTGGCACCATCTGAGAATCACTGGCAAAATGATCAGCATCTTTAAACCAAGCTGCAGTTTCAGTACGAATCAAGTGTGACATATTTTTTTCGAGAACCCTAAAGGGACTGTTTGTAGGACACCGCGGGGGCTCTTAAGTGCTATCTGGGGAGGCAGGCAGAGCGCTACCCTCTGAGCCCAGCAGCCAGCAGCTCATTGAAGAAGAGAAATCAAACACAAACTAGTCTTTCAATAGGAGCCGTGGGGAACGGTGTGTCATCAAAGTCGCCCTGTCTGGCCCCGGCTCCCCCCACCTCAACTGTGAAAAAAACAAAGATATATTTGAAAAGATTAAAATCAATAAGACTTTCAGTTTTTTGTTCATTATTAATGAGTTTGGGATTCACAAAGAAGCTATCAGAACTATCTGATTCAGGAGGAAGGAGTCCTTGTCGGAGCGGTTATCGGCCCCTGTGGGGAGGTTGCAGGATCTGAGCGGCAGTGTAGCGTAGCAGCAGACAGGTAACTAGAGCGCGGGGCGTCCGGCCTGTAACACCCCCGCGGGAATAAAGCCAGATTAAGGCAAGTAGAGATGGAGGGGGGGGGTTAGTCCTCTCATCTGAGTCCAAACACCAGACCACAACCACATCAGCGGGAATCCTTCGGAGGCAGTTGAAATGCGATACACGTCGTTATGAAAGGAAATACATGTTTTTAGAGAGACAGAAAATCAATATCGCTGACTGACTGCAGTGCGAGTGAACAAATCTGAGCGAGCTTGAAAAACCTGCATAAAATGGAATAAAAATGAGTCAGACTTAATAATCCTGACTAAGCCTGTATAAGAAAGCCCTGGCAGTCAAGACAGTAGATGGATCAGAGCACAGACAGGGATGCATGCATTATGCATCATTGTAAAATCTCTCCGGGTAGAGCGCACACACGCATACACAAACTCAACACGGCATTTGCATCACTTATTGTTTGCATTTACCACAACTCAAAATTCACAAACGACGTGTGTGTGTATGTGTGTGTGTGTGTGTTCTCTGCTGGCGAATCCAAAACGACACAACGGTGCAGGATACTTCCATGGCACATTAGACAGAAGCTACCTGTTAATAGATCATTACCATTGAATAATTACCCATTACTTTGCACTCACATTCACACACTCTTCACAAAGCTCCTGCTGAGCACAGCAGCACTATCTTATCTCCTCCCTCCTCTTCCCCTCCCCTCAGTTGATGTTAACATCTGACAGCTTTGTGCGTGTGTGCCGATACAGATTTTTTTCTTTAATTAAAACACTGGAAGTCTTAATTGGACATTACACTTTATTCTCGGGCCCTCCCGCCTGCCCACCTCCCCCTCCTCAAACACTTTGATCCTCCGACCAAAATGTTTCGAGGCAATAATAGTTTCCTCTGCACTCACACCGCAGTGCTTAAGAAGCAAAAAGCTCACTTTTAAACAAAAAACACAGCTTACGTCTACTCTCCTCTTTGACTTTGTTCCTTTAAGGTTGTTTTTTTTTTTTTGTGCATATAAGAACAACTTCTTTCCAGTTGGATGATCCTCTCATTTAGTTCCAGTTGAAATGAGATCATTTAAGTGAGAACTCAGATAAAGTTGGCAACGTAGGAATATCTTATAACCCCTTTATAAGCGCATAACTCAACCTCCAACTTGAGGGAAACAACTTGAGAAAGCATTTTTTAATGACACAGCTTTATTGTTTTACAGCCTTTGTAGAAAATTGTCCACTCCTCACAAATATTGATTAAACTGCTCGAGACCACTTCATGTGAATTCGGTTTTTGGTGTGGATTTTCTGTTTGAATCTGTTCTTTGATCCCTGTGGCCTCACCAGCAGCTCAAAGGAGGCATATGAGCCCATTACTCGCGAGCTTAGGGAATTACATCGGCTGTGGTGGAAACTAGACATAAAGGGAGTATTTTCTCTCGCAGCCGCGGTAAACAAAAGAATGTAATAATAGCAATACCTGTAAAATTTCAAGCATTTATTTATATATATAACATTGATAGAATGTCACGGTTAACACCACTGGAGGTATGAACGGTAAATTAAGTATCGATTAAATCTTTAATTTGGTTTCTGTCCACGTTTCTTTCTACCTCGCTAATAACTGCCTACTTTCTTTCTCTATTTTCTCCTTTGATCCCCTCCTCCTCCTCCTCCTCCTCCTCCACCACCTCTCTCCAGGTGGCACTGGGTCAAGAAGACGACTCGTCCGGCCCCAAGAGCTCCTCAGACGACTCCTCCAAGACGGTGGGCCTCCTGAGCGGCCAGGCTCCCATCTCGCCCCTCAGCCGCTGGATGCTGCACAGTAAAAGCAGGGCGGCCAACGCCACCTCCCTGGAGCTGCCCTACCGCTCCCCGGTCCCTTTCTCCAAGCAGGAGTTTTCTAAACAGGAGTTCTGGGAGATGCTGGGCAGCGATCTGCTCAAACCCGACGCCTCGAGCTCCAGGGTGAAACGCCGGCCGATTGTTAAGACCGGCAAGTTCAAAAAGATGTTTGGCTGGGGTGACTTCTATTCCAACATCAAGACGGTGAGGCTGAACCTGCTGATCACCGGCAAGATTGTGGATCACGGTAACGGCACGTTCAGCGTCTACTTCCGGCACAACTCCACGGGCCAGGGCAACATCTCCGTCAGCCTAGTGCCACCCGTCAAGGCGGTGGAGTTTGACCTGGAGCGCCAGAGCGTGGTCTACCCCAAGGACTCCAAGATCTTCAACTGCCGCGTGGACTATGAGAAGGTGGATCGCAGCAAGCGCACCTCGTTGTGCAACTACGACCCATCCAAGACCTGCTTCCAGGAGCAGATCCAGAGCCACGTGTCCTGGATTTGCTCCAAGCCTTTCAAGGTCATCTGTATCTACATTTCCTTCTACAGTACGGACTACCGCCTGGTGCAGAAGGTCTGCCCGGACTACAACTACCACAACGAGATGCCCTACCTGCCCTCAGGCTAGAAGACTGTGTAGAAAGGGGGGAGGGAGGAGAGGCGGGAGGAGAGAGGAAAAGGGGGATGAGTGGGAGTGACTGCTGGGCTGTGAATTGTCCTTAATGCCATAGTGGCAGCGAGACACCTTAACAAAAAGAAAAAAAAGAAAAAAAAAGAAAAAACCCTCTCTGTAGCCTGATTATTGTAAGATGTAAAAACATATATGCAAAACAAAAACTACAGTATGCAGATAATGAGGCATTTGAAATGCTTAACTGCAGCATTCATTAACTGGACTGGTAGTGAAAGTCAAACACCGCCAACATGCACATTCTTACCTCAATCCAGTTTCTAAATGCCAACTTCTCGCCAGCTATTTCTCTCTTCCATTAAGTCATTTGTGAATGTTGTCTGAACGTCCTTTTAATCACCCTTTACAGTATCGCTCTTTCTTTGCAAAGGCAGTAATTTAGGTGAAGGTGTGCATTCAAATGCTCCGATATGATCCACTGGAGAGTCACATACAAATTCAGACTCGATTGCAAACCTCATCCCGCGCTGTAAAGGCAAAAAAAAAAAAAAAAAAAAAACATACCACAGGGAACATAAAGCATTGTTTTTCCTCACAAAGAGCAGATGAATGTAAAGTGTAACCGACCGCAGGATCATTCAGGTTACGCTCGCAGTCTTTTTAAAGGGCATATTTTCTATGTGAACTAAAAATCCATCCCAGAACAATGCTGAAAGCTTCTCCTCCTACTCAGTTTCTCCCCCATGACGTAAGCGTCCCCCTCTCCTGTGTCCTTGTCAATATGTAGTGTTTACTGTCCAAAACTAATCACAATATATCCTTCAGTTATGTTTCAACAAAAGAGAATCAAAATATCGAGACGGGGGAGGGGGGAGGGAAATAATACGATTTACGGAGAAAGAGAAATTGCTCAACAGAGATTCAGGGCCAGGGGTTTAAGACAAGTTCAGTGTGAGGGGAAATAACTAGATTCTGCATGGAGATAGAATTGGCCCTCCACACTTAAGAGAGAGGGAGCAAGGTGGGGGAGAGAGAGAGAGACTCAGTGAGCTCGTTTAATTAAAGTGGAGAAGGAGAGTATGCAGCGCCTTCTATTGTCCCCTCTGTATGAAAAAGATTACATTTTGTTGCCGTCAGGATTCCTGATTTCACGCCTTGATAACTTTGACTGTGTGAGGGAGATTGCTCTCTCCCGACAAATAGTGTGTTCACTAAAGTCAGCCCCATTATCTTGAATAAATGAAAATATTATCATAATAATTACATATAATTTAATCTCCTTTAGAACTAATTAAGGTTTCAACGAGAGGGCAAAATGTATTCCTAAAAATCAAGTCAGCGGGTTGGAGGATAAGAGGACGTTCATGGGGATTGTTGTGTTTTTGCGCGGAGCCACAAGCCCAGAGTTAAATGCTCTCATTAAGATAAATGGCCACTGGCTGGCCCGTCTCATGTTGCGTTCACAAACAATATCAGCGGAGAGCAGCGCCACAATGGAGCTATGAATTAGTTGGCCTGACATTCTGCGCGCGGAGAGGTTACCGCTGTCCTGTTTATGAGGACACGATGACTTCTTGGTTCATTAACGTCGAACCGTCACGAGACAGGTGTGAAGAGTCATTAAACGGCGATATCAGATCACCACTTTGATGCTGATGTTTTGTGACGTCGGTGAGATTCGCGCACGCTCGACTGGAACTGCACAGCGGCGTCCCAGGTGGACTCGGCAGCAGTCGAACGGTCACCGTGAAGCCGTCGCCCCTGTGGGGAGACGAGACATAAATGCATCGCTTTGGCTGCTCTGTGCGAGCTGGGAGAGCAGGAGTAGGAGGGAGAATGCAGTCGCAGGGCTAAAGATAGCAACAAAGACCTGTAAATCTGCACATCAAAGCTCTTAGTTTTTAATTTGCTGCTAAAGAGGAGAGGGGGGGTAGCTCTTCTCTGTATAAAGCAACTTGTGACCCAGAGCAAACAGCAGCGGCGCACAAACATGTCTGCAGGGGGACAGACAGCTGCAGCACCTGCAGCCGCTGGAAATGCTGCTCGTCTGTCTCGGTCTAGTCTGATTCACCAGGATGTAGGCTGCAGGTGCGAGCCCGCTATTAGCCGCTCATTTCAGCCGGCTTTCTCCTCCCCTTCTGCCTCGTGCATGGTCTAAATTCTCTTTGCTTTGGGAAGCGACAACAGCAACCTCTGAGCAGCAACATGCACAATGAAAATGAAAAATTGGGGACTCCAGGGTTAGCTTCTCCTCCGCTCGTAGGTTAAATCAGCTGCCTTATTACCTATCTAGACGGCATAGTTTTGCTCATAAATGTCATGTCTGTATTGCTGGTCATGAGCCTTTATTTGTTTCATCAGTGACAGGACCAGTCTTAAATTTCGCTGACCAATCTTTCAAATCTGATTTCACTACAGTTCCAGGACCTGAAACCCAGAGTCCGTCTAGCAGGACACTTTCTGACGAGTGCATTCTACATTTGACACAACTTTTTACTCCTTAAGTGGCATCTGCAGCAACATTGACTTAAACAATCTACTAATCTGTTCCACTTCATACAAGCGTATGTGAGTTTAGTTCAATAAAAATCTGATTTTGCTTGCAAATTGTACGGAGAGTTAAGGGTTCACCTGTTGGGCACCAGTTATCAAATTATCGATAAAAGTCTCATCCTACAGTCATATTTTATTAGTTTTTTGGCGTTGTCTCATTTGTGAGGAACCAGCCATTGTAATGATAAAGTTTTCATCTCCACAACTGAACCTGTTCCACTGAAACAAATTTCACCATTTTGCAGAGACAAGGGGTGCGTTCCAACATTCATACTTGCATACTACATAGCATGCCATAAAAAGATTAGCAAGCCCTAATACATAGTTCGTCAAATGCAGTATTTCGCAGATTGTTATGCAAGCCAAAGTCTCTGCGGTAACATCACGATGTCTCACATGAATGTAAACAAGCTTGAGCCAAGAGTGGAAATAGACAGTGACCGCTCATTTCCCTCTACAGAAAGCGACTGACAGTTCAAGTAGTACGTCTCAACTCTTTGAACGCTGCATGAAACAGTATGTAAAGGGAGCTGTAGTATGTGGTTAAAGCAAAAAGTGTGTGATTTGAAACACAGCTACAGTCAGAGCAACCTTGGCTTAACAAAGATGATTGTGATTAGTTTCAAGAAATACAAACAAGCCACAGTGTTTTTACCCCTGTGAGGTGCAACCAGACCATTCTGGGAGAGTCTATTCTGAGTCAAACTTCTATCTGCTTTCACATTTTTATCTCAGCTCATATTTCATATATGCTTGGATGCCCCGCTTGTTGACAACACAGCAACGTGAGTTTTTCCACAATCAATCAAGAATCCCTTTTCCTATGAATCAGGAAGCCATGACAAAGCATGCGGGGACTGATCTGATACCGTTTGCACAGTAGTTATTTGAAAGTCCCAGTGGAACATACAGCATAGGTTTGGCAGCAACTCAAACTACACGCCCGACTCTTGTACTTTTGCTGTATTGCTGGAGGAAATCTAAAGTTTCATGTGCTTAAAATTACATCAACCAGCATGAATGAACCACTGCCTTCTGCTCTGTTCATCCATTTCCTCATCCTCCAGCTCTCTCTGTCCCTTCCCTCTCCAGACGTCCGCATGTTACTCAGCCATACGCCCCGCTGTCCTCCCGCTGTCGTCCTCTCCCCGTGTGTGACCCGGCTGACTGGCCTCAGCCTCCATACCGTCTCTACCTCCCTTACCCCGGAGTTGAACCCTGCTGAGGGTAGTTCCTCATTGCTGCCCCGCCCGCCCTCCTGCACGCAGTGCTGAGCTGAGCTGGCTAATCTCTGCGAGCTTAACGTCGAGCCAACCGAACATCAGCAGTGAGAACTCCCCTCTCTCCTTCTCTATCTATTTCTCTCTGTATCTATATCCCATCAAACAAATGCGAGTGCACACACACTCTTAGGATGTGCCGGTTTTTAGGTATTTTCCTCTCTCCTGTTCAAAGCATCTTACATAAGCCCCTGGATTGTGAGGACGTGAAATCTCCTCGAGAGCATGCCAACAGAGTGCCCAACAAAGATCCGCCCCAGTAACCTCAATACTCCTCTCCCACCCACCACTCCCATCCTGCAGGGCATCTGGAGAGAAGCTGGATGCTCACACATGACGGAATCAAAGCTGGGCATCATCAGCCCACAGCAATGTACCGATGTAGAAAAAAAACCAAGGACACATGTTGGGCTGCCCACAGAGAAGAAGCCCCGCACTCTGCTCCTTACTGATCCTCTCAGATTTACAGCAATACTCTCACCAAGACTCCACCCTCTCCGCCTCTCCGGGGCAACTTAAACAAAGGCTGCTGGACTAAGTTTAACAGACAGTCGTGTTGCTGAGGAATGGGCAGTGTTGTTACGGCAGCAGCCTTATTGCTGACCCCATCTGGGGCCAACAGATATGTGGATATTTGGCCTTAGAGACTGCAAGACAACACTGGTTCACATTTGCAAAGAATAGTAACAAAATCAGGCCGTCTAAAACAAATATATATATATACATAAATATATATATATATATATATATATGAAAGCTAAGAGTCCTCAGATCTGAATAAAGTTGTATTTAAATGTGGGTCATGCAGTGAAGGTCGTCTGTTTTACCTTTTTTTTTTTTTATTTGTTCCTCATGGTTTTCTTTCTCTGTCATGTGGATGATATACTGTATGGATGACATGATGGCATTAACTGTGGTTTTCAACATTCTAAAAATCAATAAAGTACACAGAAGTACTTGAAGCCACTTCAATTGTAGAGAAACAGGCTCCGGTCTTATATCTGGTTGTACTTGGTGTGTAGGAAGAGTGTGTCAACAATGCTGAAGTCTCTGTTTTCTTGTATTTGCATACCCATACTGTGTGCCAACGGCAAAGAAAAGATGTGAAATTTTTTTATTTTTTTTTTTTTGCTCAGGGCTCTTGCAGATATACATGCAGAGAAACAGAAAGGAGGGGAAAAGGAAGCAGAGAGGAAAATGGGGTTGAGGGAGAGAGAGAGAAAGGAAATGTTTCAACTGGAGTGATGCACAACTTCATCCCCTAATTAGCCGCCTCTTTCTTTATCCCCCCCCTTTACTCTGTCACTCTCAGCTTCTTTGTTGTGCATCTTTGCGCTCCTTGTTCATGTTAAAATGCAACTGACACCAAATTCATTGCACTTCTTAATTAAATCCCAGACAACTGTTAACGAGGGGACGGGTTCAAACACTCAGCTCACAACATCCCCCCTTAAACACGATCGATTAAGGCATGGCC